CTGCATGGAGCACTGGGTGTTATGCACAGACAATGAATCATGGAACACTACATCTAAAACTAATGATGTAATGTATGGGGATTAACATAAGAATAAATAAAAAAAAAAAGAATACATACGGGATAGCGAGTTGTGTAGAAAAATCAGCGTAGACGGAGAGTTTATTTCAGGCTTTACCAGCTAAAGTAATAATTTAGAAATGGCCCTGCCAAAATATTTACTTGTTAGGATACCATTTTCTTGCCTCTGGCAAATGAAACTTTTCCACTTTTTGGCAAAGTTCTTACTCACTGTGGAAGACCAATTAAAGTCACAATGAAGACAAGGAACAAGCTAATGCCCTAAACGGCTAGAAATATAAAATTGCACTGTGCAGTCAGGCATTTTCCAAAATGATTTCGGTGGTTTCGTGCAGGTGAACCGATGCCCTTTACAAAGGAAGCGTGGATGGGGGCTGTGCCAGGCCATCAAGATGGGCATCAGTGGGCCACTGTCCTGAGAAGCACTCAGCCCCAATCTCATCAGGAGGAAACCTCAACTGTTACAGGACATCCCTCAACCCCACTTTAGGAATACTGTCTAAGGTAACTGGCCATACTCTTCCAAAATACTGACGGCAGAAAGATGAAGTCTGAGGACCTGCTCCAGGCGGAAGCAGACTCCCAAACAAACGGGCGTGTGGCCTCGGGCAGGACACACAGCCCTGCTGGCCTTGAACTAGAGGGTGAAACTACTGGACGTGACCGCCCACGAGGACCATAAGGGGGTGCTGACAGCCCAGCTGTCCAAACCCTCCAGGTGAGAGAACAGCCTCCTGATTGGAGATACAAATGGAAACAAGGAAGGCAAGAAGCGTGACACAGGAGACCTGCTCTCAATCGGTTCAGAGAAAGGAGACGGCGGGTGTAGACAGAGACAGAGAATGTGGGAAATGTTAAAAGGCAGTGAAACTGGGTTAAGGATATTCAGGGATTCTCTGCATTATTCTTGTAACTTTTCTTTAAGTTTGACATCACTTCAAATAGAAGACCAGCACCCACTAGGCTGTAGGGCTAGAGAGAGTAGAAAAGTGGGTGCAGGAGCTAGGAGAGAGGGGAGTGAGAAGGGCGAGCAGAGCCAGGGCCGTCACGAACCCCAAGGGACACAGCTCTATGTGCACGTGCGGCCCGGGCAGCACACACCTCTGGAGGCCGGGGAGCACCCCGTGGAGGTCAGGGCACAGCTCTGGAGGTTGGGATGCACCCCTGCAGGAGGCTGGGGAGCACCTCTGGAAATTGGCATGGCTGGGAGCATTTTTAAAATAATGCAAGTGTGTCTGCTCATTTGTTAGTTCAACACATGATGCAAAATGGCCAAAAATGGCAAAAATGAGATTATTGCTGAGAAACAGGATTTTGGGTGAAGTCTGATTCCTTAAAAAAATTTTAAAACACATGTATTAATTTAAAAGGCATTTTTTTTTTATCACTGCTGTATGTGGAAAACCAGCATCATTTGCAAACTATAATTTTTTCAGAAAAATTCATGGGAGGAGGGCAGGCTCCTCCCAGCTCATTTCTGCTGTCCTTTGGCTTCAACCTGAGTTGGCGCTGAAGGATTTGGCCCTCATCCAGCTCTGCCCCTGTGCTCCCCGCCGTCCCCACAGCCACCTGTCCTTTGGGCCCCGACCCCCCGGCTCAGGAGCTGGCAGCGAAGGCGTGGGATCTAACTAGCCCCAGTGGGTGCCGCTCCCACGGGCCTCCCTGGCTGGAAGGTCTTGACCTCAGAGCAGCGGGGGCATCACAGCCCCTGCCCGGGGCGCGTCCCGTCGCACTGTCTGCGCAGGAAGGGGCGCCATGTCCTACCTCTCGGTGAGTGCTGGCTGGCAGGACCGGGAGGGTCTCGTCCACAGTGGCCAGTAACGTCCGCAGGGCCAGGCCGACTTCCTAGCAGACAAGACCACACCCGGGATCAGAGCATGCACAGAGCACGCTCCAGAAGCGATGCCTCCTCTCAGTTACGGGGTTGTCTCCTTTCCAACACTTCAAGGACAATTTCTGTACTTCTTTTCCTCAGTACTGAGCCTGATCTGAAGTGATTAGGCTTTCCCCCAAAGACTGAGATCTCTGAATGCTCAGAATGTGATCTCTGATGGAAGATGAGGAAGGACATTCTGACACCTGAGACCTCATGGACGAACCTCAGTGAGAGGAACCCGTCCCAAAAGGACAGATACAACGGGACGCCACTCCTCCTCTCCTCTGTGCCCTGGAGTCCCCACGTTCACGGGGACAGGGAGTGGATGGGGCGCCAGGGGCCGGGGGAGGGGCACTGATGTTTAATGGGGACAGAGTGTCAGTTTTGCAAGGTGAGAGGAGTTTTGGACATTAGTTGTCTAACAATGTGAATGTACTTAACACCACCGTAAGCTTAACAGTGGCTAGGATGGTAAATTTTACGTTCTGTGTATTTTACCACACTTTTAAAAAGTGTGTTCAAGTATATGTTCCAGAAATACAGGCTTAAAGCAAAGCTTCATAGCACTCTTTGAACTGCAGAACCCCCTGAGCTCGCGAATGCCAGTGTGCCCTGCTCGGGGGTGGGTGGGGGGGCACCTAGCCTCCTTTCTCGCAGAGCTTCTGGTACTCTCTCCCAGGACACCACGCCCCCGGACACAGCTTGGCAAGGTTAGGCTAGTGCAGAATATTTTCATTTCTATCTTTTCACCTTATTAAAAAAGATTTTGTGAGCACCCACATATCCACCCCTCCCTGGAAGAAAACAGCACAGATAAAGCCCCCATCGTCTCTCTCCACAACGGCCCCTCCCCCAGGGCAGCATCTGAAGGTCAAGTGCTCTCCCTACGCGCAGGTGCTGCGTGTCCCCAAGGCGCGCACAGCACGGGTCTGCTTGCTTTCAACTTCACAGAAATGGCATCTTGCAGCTCGATTTTTCACACAAGACCGTGAGTGAGCAGTGGCTGTTAAAGCCTGTGCTGCTCCAAGCGCCAGGGGCGGGAATGGCAGTCGGTCTGACTTCACTCGGTCATGCACAACTTCTGACACATTTCCTCCTGGCGGAGGGCTGAGTTTTACCTTCACCATGGGAACGTACTCCTCTGGCGGGGCTGGCTGGATCTTGCTGGACATCTCGATGACAGCCTTCACCAGGCCCGTCACATTCTCATACACCCTGTCGTTGGACCGGTCCAGGTTGGCAGTGGGCGGGGGGCTGATTTCCTGGGGCTGAAGCTGCAACACAGAAGCCGTTATGCCCCCAGCCCCCACAAGGGGGCGGCACCTCACCGCAGCTAAGTTACAGAGGGTCTTTAAAAGAGATCAAAGTGGATCACAATTGACTGGCTTGTCTGCATGGCTACAGCTCAGTTGGAGGATGACAGTCAAGTAATTCATCCAAGTGACAAATGAGCGAGGCAATCATTTTTTGTAACTTTGAGCTCAGTTAAAGGAAATGAAGTGGAATCATACCCATGATGCTAAAAGCCCCAGATTCTTTCAGAGTAGTGATTCGACGCCCCCCACCAAATCATTCACCAAGAGAAAGAATTCATGTGTTCTACGTCTCTCTGAGGATTTCACGGGAAGCTAGCTAGGGGGTCAAGCATTCTGTTAAGACTCTAAGAACTCCTGCTTAGTCTGACTCCTGCCGTCCGAACTGCATGGCTCAGCGTGGCTGCCTCCAGACCACTTCACAGACACGTGTGTCCCCTTCATGACTCAACAAGCGGACAGATGCGAGTCTCGTGAAGCGGACCCCATCTGCTTGCACCGCATTGCGGCATTGAGGAGCCCCGAGGTGTATGTGCCAGTGGCCGGGCCTCGGCTCCTCACATGGCCATCGGGGCGAGGGGGACCTGAAGGAGCTCTTGGGCACAGGCCCTCCCCAGTGCCCGGGCACACAGACACCGATGAATGTTACCCGCGAGAAGCCGAGTGAGCGCAGGGCCTGCGGAACGTGTCCAACAGCATTTGAAAGTTCACAGGGGTAACACCAGGCACAGGAAGGGCCGTGCGTGTCTACTTTAAGAAAACTAAAAGTGCAGTACGTAATCGTAGCTGCCTGCTGATGGGTCTGCTGCCAGCGCTCAGTCGAAACCTCTAGATGCCCATTCTGAACCTTCGGGCTGACTCTGTCTGAGGAACCGGGAGCCCGGTGTTCAAGTCTGATGTGAGACAGCCACGGACAGGAATAGTTCAGGCCCTGCAAAGATGTTCATGCCTCAGTCTCTGGCAAATAAAGACCTTGTCTCTGGTGATAAGCCAAGCAAAAGTGCCCTCCCCAGGCTCCCTGATTTCTGCTCCAGAGTCACATGCAGAGCGCTAGGAGTGAAGGAGTGGGACACACACACAGACACAATGTGCTTACCCTCCATGGCTATTGTTGAACGGGAGGTGAGGAAAAGTTAGAGAAATTTATCAGAGAAGGGGAAAAAAGAAAAACAGTATTAATAAAGGCAGCAGACAAAACCCCCACAAAAACACATGAGCAGAACCAAAAGGAACGAGCCTGAAGCCTGCCTAGGAGCCAGCCCCCGGTTCCCTGGTCTTCCAGGCACAATAGCTGGGCCATTGGTCCATGGTGCCGGCGCACTCGGTAAGGAGGCCTGCCACGCGCCATGCTTGTTTTCATGAGGTAAATGAGAGAAAACCACACGCAAAGCCAGAGAGGGACAACCTGGCAGCCATGCGAGTAGCAAAGCATTAGGGGTCCTCAGAAAGAAGAGGCCTTGAAATGTGCTTGACATCCCTGGGAACTGCCCGTCGGGCTTCTGGGCCACTGGGAGAGACTGTCTCACCCTGGCACCCCGCGCCCAGCCCCCGGCGTCCTGGGAAACAGGCTTTGCCATTAGCTATCCCGCCACCATCAAGATCCCTGGCTTGGGGCTGGTTGTAAAGACATCAGCAGCTTATTTTAAAAACAAAAACAAAACAAACTAAAAAAACAAACAACAAATCCTTCTTTTGAGCAAACTCTTACATTTCAGACTCCTTTATTTTTAACTTAGTTTTATTTAGTGCTTTTTCTTCTACAGCTTACACCAAGGCCATCCTATTCCTGTTGTAACTTAAAAGACCAAGTTAACTGGGGAAAGGTGGCTATCTTGCCCCCCTCCTCAACTATGTCTGAAACAGGTGTACCCTTTGGTATAGGAGTCCAGCAGAATCTTAGATTTCAAGGCCCAACCTTCTACAGTGTCTTCCCTGCATTAGAAAGAGGGAGATCACTTCAAGAGAGGACATCTCTGTCTCTTCCCTTCTGCACTGAGAGTCACACGCGGCCCTGTGATGAACTCGGCAGATGTGCCACTTCAGACTGGATCAACATAAAGGCGCAGCTTCCGCAACAGGTGCCGCAGGCGGGGCTCCATTAGGAAGAACCTCGGCCATTCTGGACTCCAGGAGGCAAAGGCTGCTTTATGCTAACCTATTTGAAGCTTCTGTTCTTCTGTATGTGCCCTGTGCCCAATCAAGGCGGGTCACAGAAGCACTGTCCCGGTGCCTCCAGCCACCACGCACAGTAACACCCCCAAAGCCAAAGCTCTGCTACAGTTTCCTAGTTTCTGGGGCTTGCCAACTTGGAGGTTCCTTGGCAGACAGTTGGGATAAAGCACCACCCCCCAAGAGACATACACAATTCCAACCGCTTAGGTGGGTGCTTCAAGCTTAAATAATCCAGAATCGAAACAAAGCCACCAAAGGAGAAACTGAGGTGGATTTCGGATCAAATGTTATCTGGATGAGTTCCATTAGTTACACCTAGCGATAAGCATTTCTGTGTTAAGACAGTATTGTTTTTAGGCTGGATTCAGTAACCTCTACTGAACAGGCGGATAAGGAAGAACTAGAGACATATACTTCGTATTTATTTTTTTTAAGTAGGCTCCATGCCCAGCACAGAGCCCAATGAACTCACGACCCTGAGATTAAGAGCCTGAGATCAAGAGTCAGACACGTAATGGCTGAGTCACCCAGGCACCCCTACTTCATTATTAAAGAAATCTTTACTTAACGCATTTTAGGTAAGCATGCTATATCCATCATGATTTCTACTTGCCTCAAATCCTCTATAAGGGTATTTTCCAATTATAGTCATTCACGTTATTACAAATGTAAAGGCAAACATTCACGTTATTACAAATGTATGTCGGAATTCTGAGCCGGTATCTGAGCTCCCTCTCAAGTTGGTTTTTCCTTGTAATACAAGCCATTTTGAAAATTTCCTCTTGTGGCTCATGTAAATGACAAACTTCATTAACCTAATTTCTCTTTCTTCCCTTTTTAAATTTATGTCAAGAAACCACATTAGGAAGGGCCGTGTCCCCTTTTGCTCCTCCTCAGAGAATACCCCATGCAGTGCCCCTGAGCTGGCGGGGGGGGGGGGGGGGCCGCCGGCCGCCAAGCCCCGGGCCGAGCTCCAGGACCAGCGCTCTGGTTTCTGGGGGCTGACCACCAGCCCTCAGAGCTGGGGTGCCTCTGACCCAGTGGTGCCTGGGCTGCATCCCTCAGGGGGCAGGCGGGGCCAGCCAGGGCCAGCCCGTTCACTCCCTGCTCACCGCCCCTCTGGGCTGGAGATGGCATTTTCTCTGCTGAGGGCCTCCTCTCTTCTCTCTGGGAATCAGCCCAGCCTGCTGGCTAAATGCTGGCTCAGCTGGGGAGCCTGTAACCTTGAATATGCCCTTTAACCTCTGTGAACCTTGCCGTGTCATGTGAAAACTAGAACAATACTACCACCACCAATCCTGTGAGGCTGATGTGAGGACAGGCTCTGTCACAGCACATGGTACAGGGAGGGCAAGCCACGAGGGTGGTTATTGGTGAAACGAAGTTTCTCTTAACTGATAACAAAGTTACCAGGTTCGAAGATCCCACCCACTGCAGGAGGCACCTTTTTAATGTTCCTCTAAGGAAAAAAAAAGCTGCCAATTAAACCAACACATCACCCTGATTTTAGAAATGTTAAAATGTACAAAAAAGGTATATCAGAATTAAGAAACAAGATATATTTTGAGAGATGACTGATGTCTCACGGCAAATAGAGAGATCCTCTCATTAAATGGGCACGAGAAAGAAGGAGAACCCTTGCCTTTGCTTCTCGTGAGAGGAGAGCTGCTTCCAAGGGGCCCAGAGGCCAACGTGGCAGGGTCTGGTGGAGGCCGGGGATGGAGGCCGGGGACGGGCGTGGTCAGGAGCCCTGACGGCCCCCTCACACGTAGCAGGGCAGGCCGTGCGTGCAGCGCTCCTGGCCGAGGAGAAGTTGGGGCCATCAGCCCCTGAGCCACACGCTCCCCTCCTCCGAGGGCTGGTTCCACACAGCCCACGCCACTTTACTACAAATGCAGTCCTGGCCCCAGGTGGAAAACGGTGGCAGTTTTCCACTAAGCCACACCGACACACTTAAGAGACAGTGAGCCCGCAGAAGGGCTCCCTTTCCCCAGGCATCCTGGTTTAATTAATGTTTAAAACCAGAAGCCATCCCAGCACTTTAGTCCCAAGAAACATTCTGCCTGATAAGAGAAAAACCTTTATCTAGGAACTCAGGCTCTGACTGAGGCCCGAGACTTTATCATGTGAGAGACAACCAGACGAGACAGGCTCCTGTCAAGCTTGCTCCGGACTCTCGGGAGGGGTGCAGAGCCCTACCAAACGGACGCCTGGGGCCCACAGCAGCACCACTCTGCTCATTCCGTCCTCAGCACTGACTCCACTTCAAGTTCCTGATCACCAAGCCCGCAGCGAAAGGCCCCACAGAGCCTCGAGCAGAGCTCGGCTCAGATGCCCACCTTGACGCCCTCGTTGTAGCTGTCCCCGGGGCTGCTGAGGCTGGCGAGGCTGCCCAGGTGACCAGGGGCCCCAGGCCGCGGCGGTTTCTTTGGCGGGGCTGCAGGATCTGGTAAAGGGGAGGCGTCCCGTTAGCTGAGGCACGATAACACACCGAACAGAAACCCCCAAATAACACCTGGCAAGGAGTCACGTCACTACAACGTATGCTCATCTGGGAGAGCGCATCCCACCGAGGCGCTCCCGACACATTACAGCTATGTTCTGCTCCCTAATACTCCGGTCATCGGCTGAATTTGGCAAACATCACACTTGCTTTGGTCCACAGGAGGAAAAGTGTTCAAAAATCATGAGGGATTCCAAAGCTCAGAAACTCTGTACATTTAAAACTTGCTCCCTCTAAATTATAAAAACTTCTTGACAGATGATTCATTTCTTCACTTACCTGGTTTCCCCACAGGCTGATATATGTGTTGGTTTCCAGTCTGTGGGGAAAGAAAAGCTCCGTCACCAGCGTTCACTACAGGCCGCAGCCTTCCCTCCGTCCCTCCCCCTCTGTCCCCTTGAACACCTGTGCGAAGTGCTGGGTTCAAAGACCAACGCGATGGGGGGCTGCCTTCAAGGCCTAATTGGGGGTGGGGGGCTTACAAACAGCCAGAATGCCAGCAGGTGTGGGAAAAGGGCTGTGACGGGGCAAGCAAGGGACGGGACGGGAACAGGGACGGGAGTCCTCACAGCCAATTAGAATTTCCTTCTAAAACAATGACATCCATGGATGCCTCCAGTCCACCTTCCAGGGGTGTGAAATCCGGGCCTTCGCAGCATCTGGGTCCTGTGCTCAGAAGCTGCCTCACAGCCTCCCGCATGTTCTCCTCACAGGGACGGGCACAGGCGGGGACAGTGACCATGGGAGACTGTGTGGCACTGGGCTATTCTGTATGCCTGTGCTGTCACCCGAAGCCCGTGTGTGTCAGGACGTGCTGCCACAGCTCTATCCGTTCAGGACCAAGCCACAGGCCCGGCCAACAAGCCAACCGCAAGCCCGGAATGTCCACCCCGGGGACAGGACAAAAGACCGTCCCACTGAAGGCCAGCCCGCCGCGGGCTGTCATAGCTGCGGTCCCCCGGCAAACCACCTACCCTAGCAGAGCTAAACGAAAATTAATCTTTTTAGAACCACATTCTACTTCTGAAGAGACTTACCTTGCTTGATTTAAATTAATAAGCTAATTTAAAAAGTATATTTTAGGGTGCTCTACTTTCTGCTGTAAAGAGGTCTACCGTGGGGAAATGCACAGACGGTGTAGTGCACACAGTGAAAACGGTTCCTGTCCCGGAGACACACCCACTGTCAACACGCCGTTTCACGGTCTGAAGGGCTCCCCACGCCCTCGGAGCTGGGGACGAGGGCTCCTTCACAGCTGACTGTGCAGTGCTGCACCGTCAACCCAGCGCGTGCTATTACCACTGTGACGGGGACACCTGCTTTGCCCCGGGCACAGGACCCGCCGCCCCTCGCTGTGTAACAGACAGCGAGACGGTTACAGCGGGTGTGCACAACGGCACAGCGCCAAGCCGCTGGGAGAGGGACACGGCCGTGGGGTGGGAGGGGAGGACACGGCAGGTCTCAGTGGGAAGATCAGGCCTTCTGAGAACGTGACCTCTGCACACGCTGGGTGGGGGAAGCCGTGAAGAAGTCTGGGAGGAGAGCGGCCCAGAGACAGGGCATCCCCCAGGAGGGGCAAACAGCATGGGAGGAACCAGGCGGCCAGGGCAGCTGGAGGATGAGTGCGCGTGCAAAACAGCAGGCTACGTGGCCAGAACTCTACAAGGGGACGTAGCCTGTGAGCTGTGCTGTGTTCACCGATCCAGGCAGTAAAACACACACATTTAACAAGACTTAAAACACAAAGAATTTTCTGGTTGATACCCAGGTTGTAAGAAAATTCAATTAACTAGAAAATTCTATTTTAAGAACATTCTGGATTAATTCAGCGAAAGTATGTATAAGGCACTTGTTAGGCCATTCCACAGGTTGCTCTGGGAGGGAAGGCACGGAAAAGCCCCTGCTTTCAGAAGTCTGACGGACGAGCATGTGGTCAGGCTGAGTTCTGGTTCTGCTGCGTATCTAGCTACGGGCCCTGGGCCTTGGAGAAGATTGTAGATTTTAAGTAGGCATGAGCTAGTGAACAAACACTAATAACTGGCTAGTGGAAACTGACCCCATCAACTTGCATAAAAGTAAAAACCATTTGGATTTTCAAAATAATATACAAGTTGACAGCATGTTCATCTTGTGACGACACCCCTGTATGAGGCATATGTATAAGGAACATTATCAGCCTCAGTTAATGAACTGGAAAACCAAAGCCCCAAACAGTTGAATGACTTCTTCCTGAAGCCACGGCACATTTTCCAGAAATGTTAAGTTGCAGCATTTCAAGAAGTGGGCCAAATCAGATTGCTATCAAAATTTAGCAAAGAACAGAAGAGGGAAAAGCAGAATGGTCACGGTGTGTTACCGGCCCTCCGGAAGAAAGCGGCCACAACCTAAAACCACATCCCTTGCAGTGAGCAAGCACAGTCTGGCATCTGGCACTGTGACGGGTCACCTTGAGCAAGTTTTCTACAAGCCTCAGTTTACCCCTTCGAGGAGTGTGGATGGCAACAGGCCTGACTTGACAGGAGTGCTGGGGTCTTAGGGAGGTGGTATGAGGATAGCACTCAGCATAGCACCTTGCAGCACTAAGTACCTTCTCATCAGTACTAAGCGCTCCCACTGTCGCCTAGGCCTGGGTGACAAGGTTGCAAGAGGACCTGTCCCGCATTGTCTGCTCCACAGAAGAACCCTTCTCTCCATGTCTAATTCACTCCCCGATTCTCTCATTCCACATGTTTTCTGGGGGCCTGTTATGTGCCACCTTCTGGAACACACATGATTTCCCTTTTCTAATAAAACGTCCTAGTAGTGGTGCTCTGAATAGCCAGTCCCCTGAATACGGTTTACCTTCACGCTGATGCTCAGTCTTACCAACTTAGGACAGACTACCGGTCACATGTTAATCTTTTCATTCTAAGTAAGGAACTCTGGGTGTGGAGATGTTAAATGGCAGGTGACGTGATGTGCTTGTGAGCCAGAGCCTGCTGCGCCTGCACATCGTGACGGGGGATGCCAGATCTTCCCATGCTGGTGACTGAGCACATCTTTTGGGGGCCAGACCTCAGGGGCAGCTGGATTTCACAGTAAAATTAGAGAAAACTCCTGGTAGGCCATTCCACACTATGCATCTTGGGGCGGGATGATGACCCAGTCTCGTGTATGCACGCATGTGTGTTCGGAAGTAAATCCAGAAGCCTTATTAGGGCTTTATCTCCATAGGTCTGTTACCTGGCAGGCACTGGTTTCTCTTCTGTACTGGGACTTCGTCTCATGTTCAGAGAAATCTGCTTTTATTTCACTCAGACATCTGCTGATGGAAATCTTAATAAAACGATTTAAACTATTCTCCCTAAAAGATTAGGGAATATTTCTTGCATGCTTTAAACATATTTGGAATAACCATAAACTAGCTCTTTAAAGAGAATTTCAGGCATTTTCCCCTACAACACAGAGAAGGAAAAAAAAATCTTGGACAAGTTTCCTGTAACTGTGGAAACTCATAAGCATGCACTAAGAGTGCAAACACTGAGCAAAGGACAGTGGACATGTCAACCATATGCAGGTTTCTGTAGAACACAGAGCTGCTACTATGAAGTTGTGTGAGTAAGGGGAGCATCCAGTGCCAGGCTGTGCACTGCAGCTTCTAATGATCTTGGCCAAAATGCTCCCTTTACTTAAAGAACGGATTCCTGCGTTCCATGCTACGAAGATTAGCGAGCGTGGGTATCTTATGACACAAAGTGATGGCCTATGTCCGTCCTGGCAAGTCCTGGCAAGAACCAGGCAGCTGCTTACCGGGCCCTGGAGACTTCCATCCTCCCTGTCCATACTGCCTCGAGAGGGCCGCACGTCAGGTTTCTAAAGCAAAGAAAACAAAACCAGACAGTTCCACTCCTGGTTTGAAAATCATGGACATATTAAGTTCCTTCCTCATGTGACACGAGTTTCTTCTAGACAGAGAAAACTCCACCCCAGGGTGAAAAAGAGCAGGTACCCAAGCCTGCTTCCTGGCAGAGTAAGGCTCGCATGTACTTGGCTGCATTGCCGAAGCAGCAAACAGTCCAATTACACGCCTTTTCCCCTTTTCCCCACCCAATGCATCCACCATACAGATAAATCTGGATTTAATATAAGTAAGAGTATGCCAATTTCACCAACCCCACAATAGGCAAAGGAGGTTACATGTCCTCATGGTGCAGAGCGTGTTCAAAGGTCTGTTCCTCATGAAGCCCAGTACGTGCAGTGGCCTCTCGCCTGCCTGATATCCGTCCCGTAGCCACGCTGACTCCTGCCTCCCCTTGCCCGTGCAGTCTCGCCACAGACCCCTTCTCAGGGTGCACTTCCTACGGCCTCTCCAGACAGGACTGCTCCTTTCTTGGTCTCTGCCAGTCTGCTATATCTTAGAGATCCTCTCCGTGGCAGGAATCATGCAGTAATTACTTCCCTCATTCGACAGAGAATGTCTTGATGTCTGATTTGTCTTTGTTCACCCTACACCTGCAAGGGCCCGGCGCTGAGCACTGAGGACAGAACCCGTAAGCACTTGTGGGTGGCAGGGCCGGGGTGGTGGTGAGAAAGAAATGAGCTTTGTCTCTCCCCCTTCTTATAAACGTATTTTTACAAAAATGAAACCATGCCATGTAATTTTATAACCTTTATGTAACATTATATAGTAGAAAACCACGTTAAAACCATGTTAAAAGTTGCAAGCCTCCTTCAGCATGAAGGCTGTCCTAAAAAGAAACCAACAGTGAGGCGAATGGGCTCTGGCATCAGGTGGCCTGGGTTCAGGTCTGGCTCCAACCCTTTCAAAGCTATGTGACCTGGGCCTCAATTTCTTCAGCTTCAAAACAGGGCAGTTACAGTACCCGCTGCGCAGGCTTGATGGGAGGATTAAATGAATGAATACTGCAGAGTACTAGATCAGTGCCACACGAATGTCCTGTAAAAGAAATAGTTCCGTCCGCTGAATGGTGGGGCCATTTTCAAAAATTCGGTTGTATAAATAGGTGGTGGATGAAGACTTCTGTATAGAAATGTTTGACTAAATCCCTGCTTATTTCCCTAGGACAGATTTCTAAGATGGAATTACTGAGTTAGAGGGTCTGAACACTTGAAAAATCCTGGGTATAAGCTGCCCAACTGCTGAGCTCTCGCTGGGCCCTATACCATTTAAAACTTAGCCAATTCAATAAACAAAATACTTTATAAATCTGCCCTCCTTTCCTAAACATTAGAACTCTCTGCTTCTTCTCACTGGATGCCGGGCCCCGGGAGGACGGAGGCCATGGGCTGTCAGCTTCCCCCACTATCTCCATGACTTGGTAGAAACAGGACACACAGGCGGGAGGCAATGAAGCGTCTGCATGATTGACTGTGAACAGTGGCCATGCCCCTTGGACAAGGCATTTAACGTCTCCAAACCCATTTCTCAGCTGGGAAAGGGGTAGGTCGCCTCATACAGTGACTGTAAGGATTAAATATGTGCTTGGAACAGTCATGTGCATATCAGACATTTAGCAAACACTTGCTGTAATAAAAATGCAAGGTAGAAGAGAGGTTTCACAGATGAGGGACTCCAAGTTCAGAAGGCAGAATTACAGGTACAACCCAGAGATATTGCAGGTTTGCTCCAGACGCCGCAGGAAAGCAAGTATCACAGTAAAGCGAGTCAAACGAGTGTTTGGTTTTCCGGTAGTGATCAAAGTTATGTTTACACTATACTCTAGTCGATAAGCCTGCAGCAGCCTTATGTCTAAAACACGATGTACATACTTGAATTAAAAGATACTTCATTGCTACAAAACACTAACCACACTGGCTGACTCTTCCTTCCACTGAAAGGTCTCTCTCTACAGCCTACAATGCTGTTTGACAGCAACTCACCCACAGAACTTCCTCCAAAACTGGTGCCCGTCCTCTCAAACCCTGCTGCCGCCTTACTAACTAGGGCCATGGAATATTCTAGATCCTCTGTTCTCATTTCCCGTCTTCACAGCATCCTCGCCAGGAGCAGCTTCCATCTCAGGAAAGCACGTTCTTCGCTCCTCCCGACGGGCACCTCTGCATCCGTTAGTTCTAGCCTAAGATCGCGGCAGTGCGGTCCCGGTTCTGGCTCCACTTGGGATTCTGGCTCTCCTGCTGTTGGCACCACATCTGCGGAGACGTCCTCTGCTGATGTCCTGAGCCCTCCATCATCCACAAGGGTTGGATCCACTTCTTCCAAACTCCTGTTACTGTTGACATTTTGACCTCTTCCCGGGCCCCGTGAAGAGGGCCAACCAATCACGGGGAAAGAGAACCAACAATCACGAGAACCAACAATCAAGAGAACCAACAATCACGAATGTTCTTCACGGCATCTAGAATGGTGAATCCTTTCCAGAAGGCTTTCAGTTGGCTTTGCCCAGATCCATCAGAGGAATCCCTATCCATGGCTGCTATCGCCTTCTTAAATAATAAGACTTGACGGTCGAAACTACTCCTTGATCCACTGGCCACAGAACGGATATTGTTAGCAGGTGTGAAAACAATACAAATCTCGTCGTCCATCTTCAGCAGAGCTCCTGGGTGACCAGGTGCATTGTCAGTGAGCAGTCATATTTCGAAAGGAATCTTTTTTTCTGAGCAGGTCTCAAGGGTGGGCTTAAAATATTCAGTAAATCATGTTGTAAACAGATGACGGTCGTCCACCAGGCTTTCCTGTCCGGCTGACGGAGCTGAGGCAGAGTAGATTAAGCATGATTCCCAAGGACCCTAGGACTTCCAGAACGGCCACTGAGCGCTGGCTTCATCTGACAGGCACCAGCTGCGTGAGCCCCTATCAAGGGAGTCAGCCTGTCCTTTGCAGCTTTAAAGCCAGGCACTGACGTCTCCTCTCCAGCTGTGAAAGTCCTAGATGGCGTCTCCTTCCAGTAGAAGGCCGTTTCACTTACACTGAACGTCTGTTGCTTAGTGCAGCCACCTTCGTGAACGATCTGAGCTCGATCTTCTGGAGAACTCGCGGCAGCTCCTACGTCAGCACTTGCATGGTATGGAGACGTCCTTCCTTCAACCTCACGAACCGCTCTTGGCTTACAGCTGGTCTCCTGAAGCTTCCTCACCTCTCCCAGCCTTCACGGAATTGAAGAGAGTGCGGGCCTTGCTCTGGGTGAGGCTTCGGTTTAAGAGAATGCTGTGGCTGGTGTGATCTTCTGTCCAGACCAGTGAAATGTTCCCCATGTCGGCAACAAGGCTGTTTTGCTTTCTTACCATTCGTGTGTTCCCTGGACAAGCATGTATGATTTCCTTCCAGAACTTCTCCCTTGTGTTCACAGAGTGGCTGTGGCGTGCCAGAGGCCTGGCTTTCCGCCCGTCTGGGCTTTCGACATGCCTTCTCACTACGCTTGATCATTTCTAGCTTTCGATTTAAAGTGAGACGTGTGACTTTTCCTTTCACCTGAGCACCGAGGGGTCATTGCAGGGTTATTAACTGGCCTAATTTCAATATTGTTGTGTCTTAGGGAATAGGGCTGCCCGAGGAGAGGGGGAGAGAGATGGGGGAACGGCCAGCTGCTGGAGCGGCCAGCACACAGACAACGTTTAAAGTTTACCATCTTCTTTGGGTGCGGCTTATGGCACCACAAAGTAATTACAATTGTAACCTCAAAGATCACAGATCATGGGTCATCACAATAAATCTAATAATGATGAAAAAGTGAAGTACTGTGAGAACAACCAAAATATGACACAGACATGAAGTGAGCAAAATGCTGTTGGAAAAATGGCACCAACAGACTTGCTCAATGCAGGGTTTCCCCCAAACCTCAGTACATAAAAAACACACAATGTCCATGACGTGCAGTAAAATGAGGTATGCCTGTAGCTGCCTGAGCAACATGAGGTGCATTCAATCAGGCAGTAACTACTTAGTGAGCACTCCTAACTATAGGAAACAGACATTTTTAAAAGTACGTTAGTTTATTTATTTATTTCTGGGAGCTCTATGCCCAATGTGGGGCTCGAACCCACGACCTAGGAGATCAAGCATGCTCTTCTGAATGAGCCAGCCAGGCGCCCTTACCTGTAGGAAATACTTTACTTTTTTACTTAAACAAAAGCAAATGACATTTACTGTTTGCTTATAGAATTAGGTGCTGTGTTTAATGTATTTACATGAATTATCTACTTATATTTCCATATAAACCACATGAAATGACTTATTTTTCCTTATGCACAGTAATTCCCTCATGTACAGTAATTCCCTCATGTTAAAACTTTCCCCAAGACAGGATTTCAATTTCAAAATGAGAAAGCCTGTCTATAGAAAGTCCACTTGTGTTCTATGAATGGAAATATTTAAGCTTTTTCCTCACATGGCCGACACAGTCTGTCTGAGAGATGAGTGCCAACTTGGGGAACTCAATGGAGCCAGTCAGCCCGTCACAGAGCAGGGGTTCTGTTACTGGTTCTGCTCCTGGGTGAAGCTAAATTCTCCCGCTTCCTTCTTACAAAATATTCTAGATTTGAAGATAGCAATATGAAAAGAGGAAATTTATATTTGAAATCTTACAAAAATAGATCACAAACATAAAAAATGTTTGGGACTACTTGATTATTTCCCCCATCAGGTATGCCTTCTCCCTCCCTCCCTTTCTTTTTTATGCAGGTGTCACATATACAATAAAGTGCACCAATCTCAAGTGTACAAGCTCAGTGCATTTTTAGAAATGTGTGCACCCACCTAACACAGCAGCCCACCCGGCAGGCTCCAGTTGAGACCTGACCCCGCCTCACCGAGGGGACTGATCCTCTGACCCCCACCCCCAAGAGCTCTTACAAGTGGACTGCATAATGTGCACGGCCCTGTGTCTGACGTC